GAGCGAGGATCGGGTCGTCGCATCCTTAGTGGCGCGCTACATCGGCGTCTGGATGTAGTGGAAAATGAGCAAGGGTCTTCGCATTTGACTCGATGAGTGTGAAGGGTAAGGAAGCTAGTCAAGCCTAGGACGATACGCTTAGGTAGCTGGAACGTAGGGTCTCTGACAGGGAAGCTTCGGGAGCTAGTTGATGCAGCGGTGAGGAGAGGTGTTGATATCCTTTGCGTCCAAGAAACCAAATGGAGGGGACAGAAGGCGAAGGAGGTGGAGGAGGTGGAGGATACCTGCTTCAAGTTGTAGTACACGGGGACGGCTGCAAACAGAAATGGTGTAGGCATCTTGATCAACAAGAGCCTCAAGTATGGAGTGGTAGACGTCAAGAGACGTAGGGACCGGATTATCTTGGTCGGGCTGGTATTTGGGGACTTAGTCCTCGATGTTATCAGCGCGTATGCCCCACAAGTAGGCCTCAATGAGAACACCAAGAGGGAGTTCTGGGAAGGCCTAGAGGACATGGTTAGGAGTGTACCGATTGGCGAGAAGCTCTTCATAAGAGGAGACATCAATGGCCATGTGGGTACATCTAACACATGTTTTGAAGGGGTGCATGGGGGCTTTGGCTATGGCATCAGGAATCAAGAAGGAGAAGATGTCTTAAGCTTTGCTCTAGCCTACGACATGATCGTAGCTAACACCCCCTTTAAAAAGAGAGAGTCACATCTAGTGACTTTTAGTAGTGGTCGACACTAGCCAGATTGATTTCATCCTCTCGAGAAGAGAAGATAGGCGTGCGTGCCTAGATTGTAAGGTGATACCTGGAGAGAGTGTTGTCCCTCAGCATAAGTTGGTGGTTGCTGACTTCCGCTTTCGGATTCGTGTCCACCAGGATAAGCGTGCCAAAGTCGCTAGAACGAAGTGGTGGAAGCTCAAGGGGGAGGCAGCTCATGCGTTCAAGGAGAGGGTCATTAAGGAGGGTCCTTGGAAGGAAGGAGGGGATGCGGACAATGTGTGGATGAAGATGGCGACTTGCATTCGTAAGGTGGCCTCGGAGGAGTTTGGAGTGTCCAGGGGAAGGAGAAGCGAAGCTAAGGATACCTGGTGGTGGAATGATGATGTTCAGAAGGAGATTAAGGAGAAGAAAGATTTTTTCAGATGCCTATACTTGGATAGGAGTGCAGACAACATAGAGAAGTACAAGATGGCGAAGACGGCCGCAAAGCGAGCTGTCAGTGAAGCAAGGGGTCGGGCATATGAGGACCTCTACCAACGGTTAGGCACGAAGGAAGGCGAGAGGGACATCTATAAGATGGCCAAGATTCGGGAGAGGAAGACGAGGGATGTTGGCCAAGTCAAATGCATCAAGGATGGAGCAGACCAACTCCTGGTGAAGGACGAGGACATTAAGCATAGATGGCAGGAGTACTTCGACAAGCTATTCAATGGAGAGAATGAGAGTTCTACCATTGAACTGGATTGTTCCTTTGATGATACCAGCAGGCGTTTTGTGCGGCGAATCCAGGAGTCTGAGGTCAAGAAGGCTTTAGAAAGGGTGAAAGGAGGCAAGGCGACGGGCCCTGATTGTATCCCCATTGAGGTGTGGAAAGGCCTCGGGGACATAGCAATAGTATGGCTAACCAAGCTTTTCAACCTCATTTTTCAGGCAAACAAGATGCCAGAAGAATGGAGACGGAGTATATTAGTACCAATTTTCAAGAACAAGAGGGATGCTCAGAGTTGTACTAATTACCGTGGAATTAAGCTGATGAGCCATACAATGAAGCTATGGAAGAGTCATTGAGCACCGGTTAAGAAGAATGACAAGTGTGACCAAAAATCAGTTTGGTTTCATGCCTGGGAGGTCGACTATGGAAGCCATTTTCTTGGTACGACAACTTATGGAGAGATACAAGAAGCAAAAGGACCTGCATATGGTGTTCATTGACTTGGAGAAGGCCTATGATAAGATACCGCGGAATGTCATGTGGTGGGCCTTGGAGAAACACAAAGTCCCAGCAAAGTACATTACCATCAACCGCAAAAAGGGAAGTACATTACCCTCATCAAGGTCATGTACGATAATGTTGTGACAAGTGTTCAAACAAGTGATGTCGACACAGATGACTTCCCGATTAAGATAGGGCTGCATCAGCGGTCAGCTTTGAGCCCTTATCTTTTTGCTTTGGTGATGGATGAGATCACAAGGGATATACAAGGCGATATCCAATGGTGTATGCTCTTTGCGGATGATGTGGTGCTAGTTGACGATAGTCGGACGGGGTCAATAGGAAGTTAGAGTTATGGAGACAAACCTTGGAATCGAAAGGTTTTAGGCTCAGTGGAACTAAAACCGAGTACACGAGTTGCGGTTTCAGTACTACTAGGTTGAGGAGGTTAGCCTTGATGGGCAGGTGGTGCCTCAAAAGGACACCTTTCGATATTTGGGGTCAATGCTGCAGAAGGATGGGGGTATTGATGAAGATGTGAACCATCAAATCAATGTCGGATGAATGAAGTAGCGCCAAGCTTCTAGCATTCTCTGTGACAAGAGAGTGCCACAAAAGCTAAAAGGTAAGTTCTATAGGACAGCGGTTCGACCAGCAATGTTGTATGGCGTTGAGTGTTGGCCGACTAAAAGACGACATGTTCAACAATTAGGTGTGGCGGAGATGCGCATGTTGAGATGGATGTGTGGCCACACAAGGAAGGATCGAGTCCGGAATGATGATATACGAGATAGAGTCGGGGTAGCACCAATTGAAGAGAAGCTTGTCCAACATCGTCTGAGATGGTTTGGGCATATTCAGCACAGGCCTCCAGAAGCTCCAGTGCATAGCGGACGGCTAAAGTGTGCGGATAATGTCAAAAGAGGTCGGGGTAGACCGAATTTGACATGGGAGGAGTGTCCGTAAAGGGAGATCTGAAGGATTGGGGTATCACCAAAGAACTAGCCATGGACAAGGGTGCGTGGAAGCTTGCTATCCATGTGCCATAACCATTAGTTGGTCGCGAGATCTTATGGGTTTCACCTCTAGCCTACCCCAACTTGTTTGGAACTAAAGGCTTTGTTGTTGTGTCGTTGTTTTTGAGCGAAAACAGTAGGGAAGGCCCCTACTGCGCCATTTTACAAATTTTTAGAAGATGGGATATGCACAATGGGTGAGAAGATGGGGCGTAGTCAGATTACAAAATGTTTGAGCCCACTTCAGCATTAAATTTCTCTTATCTTTGTACATATTTGACCTTGGCACTCTAACTCAGATGTTTTCGTAGTGTCTTTACTTACTTTATGGTCAGTTACGCTTAATAGCTCATCCTTGTAGTCTCCTTGCATAAATTTAGTCACCTTAGTATTGCACTATTCTAATTCCGTGATTTTTCTTTCACGTCTTTGTGTTTACTTCCTACAAAACCTTTATTCCATTTTGAATAAAAATTTACCTGCAAAAAGAACACCCACGATAGAGACAAACCAACTCGGAGTTTCTTTGCATTGGCTCCATTTGCTGCAATAGGAAAACAGGGAACATTTCAGTGAATGCACATAAGCATGAATTGTCGACTAAGTCACACATGATAGCTATCTGTGCCATACGCACAAGCAGCGGCGTGCTTACATTGGTGGTATAATTGATAAAAAGAGCACCGTAGCATAAATTTAAATAATTACAGAAAATAAGAAAAAGAAAGCATTGCACACATTGCAATATCATATCAATATAAAAAGAGGACCAAGAGGGAAGGAACCCCGGTGATACATTCCTAGGAGGAAGACACTTGGATACACATCCCACCATGGAGCTACCTAGGGATTGACCATGTGCCCTATTCAAATATTGAGAATGCTAATTCTAGACAGCCTTGAGCGTGCTACTAGCAATAAGCACATACTAGGATCAATGCCCATTTTCAGTTTAGGGTGAGTTCGGCAACAAGTTTAGCAATTGTGGTTCACACTGAATTCATACTGGCAAAGCATTGTTTCACTTTCACATGCCTCTTTTTCATAATGCTTTCATATTAGTTCCTTTTTAAATAAAGACAGCAAATATGCAAGACTGGAATGAAAAAACTGTATTCAGAACAGTGTTACAACAACATACATACACAGTCATGTCTTTAAATAGCTTTCATCACACTTAGAAAAGGACACCATTATTTACCTTTAACAAATGGCAAAATTAAATGCTTCTGTATACCATCATCAAATTTCTTTGTAGAAACATTTTGCTTTTTTCCTCCTTTAGTTACCTGTCAACTAAAAGTCATATACAGAAACTGACAGGAAAAAAGTTAAGAACATATGAAGTTATATACCTGTGCATCTGGGTTCACTGCAAGAGCAAGTATGGCACCAAGTGCTTCTGCAAATGAATCTCTAACTGCTGACACATTATCTTCCAAGCCCTATAAAATGCCATCAAGCAAAGAATAAATTCAGCTAAAATAACTTCAACCACTGGTTTTTAACTTGCAGTAAACATGAGGACTAAATAAAATGAGTAAATGATACCTTAACACAACAAGACATTGAAGTATCAAGTTCAGCCATCCCCAACCCAGGCCCACCTATATTAGCAAAGGCGTTCAAGCATCGCGCTGCTGCTACTCTAACAATATATGATTTGTCACTTATGCCTCCTCGCATGATTATGCGGAAAGCCTCCAAGTAAGCTGCACCACTACCACCACCACCAGAGCCTTCCAATGCATTCTCAAGCAAGAGGAGTGCATCTTGCCTTACAAAGTCCTGAAGATTCAAGTAAGAAAAAATTGCTTTTACTGGTAGAAACTAGAAAATGAACCAGGAGCAAAAGGAACACCAGAAACGGAGCTGGAGATCTGCATCAACACTATTAAGAAAATTGTGGGTCCTTGGAAACGAGAAAAAAGAAGGAACAAAAAGGCCCAAAAGTGAACATATTCAGATTTACAGCAGGTCCCCGATCTTGTAGGAATCATTGTTTTTAGACAAACAAAAGCAAGTACTCCACATATTTTAACATAGATGTTGTATTGCAAGAGAAATAAAAAGATGATATGAATACCAAATAACAGTCAGATAATATTCTGTAGAAGGCACTGGAATGAGAACAGAAAGAATAATAAGGAAACTGAAGGGAGAAGCACAGACCTCATGATATTTCATCAGTTTTGCTACGATGTTTGATGTCTCAATCAATCCTGCGGTAATCTTGCGCCCGAATAAGCGGTAAATTTCTCCTAGGCATTGTGCTGCACCTGTTAGGAAATTATTTGGTTTTACATCATTAGAAACACAATCACAATCCATAAGCAGACCATATCATTATAGCATGACTTCTATGAGAAATAGCAGGGGCCATCTAATCCAGACCATTGCACAATGCACAGCAGAAAAATGCATTACTACATCATACTATTATTTTTTTGCAGGCACATAATCATAACCAAATAATCTACCCAAATGATAAGTGCCACACTGTGGCACGAAGTAACACCTCCCTGACGTTTTTACACTGAAGTTGTCATCCGAAAAAAAAACTCAAAAAAAATTGAAACTTGCCATCCAAACAGAAAGTCGCCATGCTTCACAACTAAAGTTGCATCCTCTTGTAAATAAGCTTGTCATCAAAAAACGTCATGGCGGAATTGCATCGTGCCACACGTGTGGCACTTATCAGGGTCCATAATCTAAGCCACTCATAATAATAATCATAAGCTTCGCTTATGTTGTCTGAACATAGCCAGTCCCAAGCCCGGGTAAAGGAGGAGGGTTGTGATAGACTTGGCGAGCCAACGGCAAAACCCAGCCATTCTTATGGAGATGAAACCCAGAAGAACGTCATTAGGGTGTAACCCTCTTAGCAATGCGCCATATGGGAACCCGGGTGTAGTGTCAAATGGGCAAGGGCCGGGCCATCACCCCCTTGGTGGTGCGCCATATACTGATCTGGATACGGTGACAAGTGAGCAAGGATCAGGTCGTTGCATCCTTAGTGGCGCGCTACATATACGCCCGGGTGTAGTGAAAAATGAGCGAGGGTCCTCGCATTTGACTCGACGAGTGCTAAGGAAGCTAGCCGAGCCTAGTAGGATCCGCTTAGGTAGCTGGAACATGGGTCCTTGACAGGTAAGTTAAGGGAAGCTAGTTGACACAGCGGTGAGGAGAGGTGTTGATCCTTTGCGTCCAAGAAACCAAATGAAGGGGGCATAAGGCGAAGGAGGTGGAGGATACCGGCTTCAAGATGTGGTACACGGGGACAACTGCAAGTAAAAAGTGGAGCAAGCATCTTGATCAACAAGGGCCTCAAGTATGGAGAGGTAGACATCGAGAGGTGAGGGGACCAATTATCCTGGTCAAACTGTTAGTTGGGGACTTGTAACGCCCCGGCCACATCCACCGGTTCATAGCCGTTACGGCTGGCAGGATCTAGACTGGCCCCACGGACCAACACTAGTCTTTCCTGCGCACTTTTGTCCTCACTCGTGCGCACCCGAGATCAGCTTTCCGGTTGGTGACCCATCCTCAAATCGCTCCAAGCCAAGCACGCTTAACTTTGGAGTTCTTTTCGAATTGGCTCCCGGAAAAGAAGGAATTCCTTGTTGATATGAGTAGTCTATCATTCCTATTAAGCCAGGCTCTCAGGGGACTTGGTTCTCAATGTTATCAGCGTGTGTGCCCTGCAAGTAGGCCATAATGAGAACAGTGCTATTGGGTCTCGACAAGTAAACAGCGTAGATCGTTCTTTTCATTCAGCTAATGAGAGTATTTCCATGATTTCTCTTTTTTTGATAATTGTGGGCATTTATGTTCACCCGCTGGCTACAAGTCTATAAGTAAACGGATTTTTCGATAGATAAATTACAACTGCCAACACATTCGAAATAAGTTAAGAAATTTATACAGCATGAATTATGATTCCTAACCTGCACATGCCATGGGATCCGCTCTTTTCACATCTACCAACCACCCCTGCAAGGTGCTTGCCCTTGAGTATACTGATATTGCATCACCTTTCTGAATTATCCGCCCCATTGCTGATGACGCCAACCGTCGAACAGGGCGGCAAGCACCAAAGACAAGCAAGGACTGGAGAGCATCCTCGCATTTCCTTTGCCAAAGTTGTATGGTGTCCTGAATAACAACATCAAACACACAATTCAAAATCAGAGGTACCAAGGAAATCCCCCATTCATCGCCTGAAGCTGCATATTACACTTTGTGCGTTAACATAATCAAAGAGCGAACTTCCTCATGGTGGCTCATACATCGCAAGTTTGACACGTGCAAGCAGGAAGGGATGCAAAATTGTGAGCAATTTTCAGTTCAAATGCGTGTCAATCATGAAGCATTTATTTACTTCTTCTGCCCCCTCAGACGCAGCTAAAAGCAACCATATGACCCCACACTAGGATCCTCCGACCCAGCAACTAGAACAGAGTAGAGCTTTGCAAGGAGCCAAGGACACCGAACTCTAGCAGTGAACTACCGAAATTACTCCCCATAGCGAGCCAATTCAAGCAGATCACGGCACAGCAACACCGATCGAGGGAGCTCGTGCGGCAGTAGCATACGCGTAGGCATTGCTATAGCAGCAGGGATCTGGAAGGTGAGATCTAGGGCAATGGGAGAGGAGGGTTGGGGCGCGACCTTGGGGGCCTCGTCGAGGGCGGAGGAGAGCTCGGAGAGGAGGTCGAAGCAGAGGAGCGCGTCGGGGGGCTTCTGCCTGGCCGACGCCACCACGGACTCCAACTGCGCCACCAGAGCGCCGAACCGCGACAGCGGAATTGGCTCGCCGCCGGCGACGCCGCGCTTCGCCATGCGAAAGGTGGGGGAGGAGGGAGCGGGAGGGCGTGCGGGTGTTTGGGCCGATGGCCTTTTTCCGGTACCACTGGGATGGAGATCTAGAGTAGACGTGCCGCGCGGTGGGGTGCTTGGTTGGTAGTCAAAAAATTAGCTTAGCCAACATTTGCAACTCCAAAGCTTCTTTAATTTTGGCAGCTTATAAGAAATTGGAAAAAAAATGACTTTCTTAATTTTATTAGGACACTGGTTTGAGTTGACTACAAAACGTTGCTAGCTCGATTTTTGCCAACCAACCAATCATGCTCCTAGTGCGTTATATGTTATGTCTATCTCGTCGAGGCGATAAGATGATCTAAACGACGGTGTAATAGACTGGCAAACGTATATATCCTTGAAAAATTCTTACATTGATGGTCCAGTTTGTCTTGCTTCATGGATAATTTTGGCATCGAATTATAAAATGAAATCACAGGTTAGGGGGACTTCAACTAAAAAACTAGTTAGGGGGGCTTGTCCTAACGCTGGGTTTGCCTTGGGACTTGGGTTCGGTGTCGGTGATACACCACATTGAGTCTTGTCTGATTGGCATTCAGTGATCCCTTCTTTCAGATCCATTCTAGCATTCCGAACTTTTGTGTTTTCGCCTCCTGCGTCAAGTCCCCATGTTTGGTGTGGTAGACCTTAGAGTGGGCAATAAATCATCACTACGAGCATCCGGCAAAATCCCAACGGCCGGACGACCGGTCTCCAGCAGAAATCCGGTACCACATGTCTAGAAGCAAATCGACGGAAATCTGACATGCACCGGATGTCTAGACCTTCCCGAAATCTGGTGCCATTGCACGCGAGAAGAATCAGCGAACATCCGGCGCCCACCGGACGTATGGTCCCTAACAACCGATTGAATGTCCGGAACTAACTGCGCGCAACAACTCGGTTTTCACCCATGTATCCCCTCTCTCGCCCTAAACTATAAATACCCTTCTCCTACCTACGTCCTGGGGCAAAGACATAATAGAGAACTAGTAGAGCTTTGCTCCTATCCACTACTCCTCTTGGAGGTTGAGACCTCCACGTGAGAAGATCCCCTAGTGGATGCAATACCCCTGTATGGGAAGATCCTCCATGGATGCAAGGTCCCTATTATAGGAAAGACTTACCTACCTCCAAGACCTCATCTCCCTTGGAGTTGAGAAGGGAATGTCTACCTACCTCCAAGACCTCGTCTCATTTGGATTTGAGAAGAATAATTACCTTTGTTCTTTTCCCCTTGACTTGTTCTTGTATACTCGTGGATCTCATGTGTACTATCTTAGTGGATGTGTGATTTGGGTTTGTTTGAGTCAATCTCTCTCTCTCTCTCTCTCTCTC